GCTGTTTGCAGCCCAGACAGACGTGGATACGAGTACCAGGGCGGAAGATACCCAAGATGTTCCTCGATAAGCAGGAGCTGGCTCTCGCCCATCACCTTCATGTACACCATGAAGTCATCTCCAGTCGCAGCCTGACTGGAGAAGACCTTTGGAATTCATGTCACCTCCAAACAGCTGCGAAACTTCTAGTATGGAGTCACCCATGGATAGCTACCTGGAGACCAGTACTCTCGATCTGGAAGACCTCCAACATCGAGCAGCTCCGACAACGTCGCTACGGTCTAGGACATCATCTTCACCGCAGTCGCCAAGGCGCGGGTGATGGTATGGACCTGAGTACCTGGAATGGAAAGACCGATATTTTCTTCGTGAACCCCGGACTGAAGGTGAGCGCTGGCGGTTACATCAAGCAACTCGAGAAGAATATCCTCCCTACATGTCGTCACCCGTACCTTCTTGGAAACTTTGTACTGCTACAGGATTGGGTGACACCACGTGGATTCGAAGGGCGTTGGAAAAACTCTCGCCCACTTGGAATGGAAGGACGTTGAGTACCTGAAGAAGATGGAATATCTAAGTAGGTCACCTGACCTAAACCCCCTCAATTACCCGGTTCGGGCGGAGCTCAACAGGGTGGTCTACAGTGGCGGAGAAATCAACGATCTCGCTGAACTCAGGTACCCACTCACGGTCGCGTGGCAGAATCTCTCGATGGCGCTCCTCCAGAAGGCTGTGGCGGAGTGATAGTATTTAATATGCTCTTTAATATGGTGGTAGAAATGTCCGATCAGAATTTGTGTAACTTATAGCGCCTCGAAAGTCAATGAAGAAAAGTGACTTTTTTTGCCCCCTCCTGTAGTGTTGTGACTTCTTCAGGGTACAGCATCGCTGCGTGAAAGACGTAGGGCTGTTGTGCTTCTTCTCTGGAGAAGGGGGGAGTGGTATTTGGTTGTGGGGACAGACGAGGGGTCGTATGTGCGTTTGAGAAAAGAGCGTTCTTTATTTGCTGCGTTGGCAAAAAATTTTCTCTTCTTTTTGACTTTTCAGCGTGATTTTCTTGTTTTGTGCGCGCTATATACCCTTTATCCCCACTCGAGGGAAATGTTTGGGTGAAAAACTAGAAAATGAAAAATGTAAGAAATTGGTTGGTAGGTTTTGGGGAAGTA